AGATCTTTCGCTGTCTTTAGCCGGGTACCCATTCCCACCTGGGTGAAGTGAGGAAAATTCGTGTAAAGTGCCTTTTCCAAGGACACAATAATAAATTGCATTTAAATTGCATTAAATTGCACAATGTCGGGGCCACAATAATAAATTGCATTTAAATTGCATTAAATTGCACAATGTCGGGGCCACAATAATAAATTGCATTTAAATTGCATTAAATTGCACAATGTCGGGGCCCCTGACGGAATTCTAACCCACGACCTTGCAAGTTACCGCAAAGCGTTAAATGTTGATCTGTAGTGAGTCAATGTTGTGTGCGTCTGGTTCCCGCAGACCACCTGGTTCACCTGAAGGACAGCAACCACATCACGGTGTACCACAAGGGCCGCTACTACAAGGTCTACATCAGGCACAAGAGGAGGATGCTCAAGCCCTGCGAGCTCGAAGTGTAAGGTTTTGTGAGATCAATTGAAGCGTATGGTGGGAGATAGAAATATATGACTGAAATATTGGACTGTGCGAGACTGAGGTGTTGGATTGCATGAGATGGAATTGTAGGATTATGCAAGATTGGAGGTGGGATTGTACGATATGGAAAAGTAAAATTGTGCTAGACTGAAGTGTAAGATTGTACAGAACGATTTTAACAGATTGGAACTTTAAAAAATTTGTGTGAGATAGAAGAATAAGATTGAACTGGATCAGCGAATACGATTTTCTTTATTGTTAAATAAGATTGTCCCCTGCTACTTCCTAATCTGTTGCATCTTACACTTTGTAAAGTGGGTAAGAGTGAAGAAAGGAGAGAAATCTTGAACCCAAAAATATTTCCTTTTTTGGGTGAAGGAAATTTGTTTTAAATAATTTATAATCAATAAAGTTTGTGTGTTTATTTGTTTGTTTGTTTGTTTGTTTGTTTGATCAGAATGCTGCAGAAGATTGTGGATGACGAGAGCGAGCCTGCGGAGGGCGAGGAACACCTGGCAGCATTGACGGCCGGCGAGAGAGTGCCGTGGGCCAAGGCACGCAAGGAGTTTTTCAGCAAGGGCAAGAACAAGGCCTCACTGGACGCTATTGAGAAGGTCAGGAGAGGGGTCGTTGTTGATTGTTTGTCTCTGTAAGCTACGTTGGGGGAGAGGGGGGGGGAGGAGAGAGAGAGAGAGAGAGAGAGAGAGAGAGAGAGAGAGAGAGAGAGAGAGAGAGAGAGAGAGAGAGAGAGAGAGAGAGAGAGAGAGAGGGAGAGAGAGAGAGAGAGAAAGGGTGAGAGAGAGAGGGTGAGAGGGGGGGGGGTGATTTGCATTAAGTGCAAATGGAATAAGACATGTAATAATGGGGTTAGTCTGGTCATCTATAGGTCAAAGTGTCTCTCTCTGTTGTGGGTTCATGAAGGTAACATCTAGGGATAGGAAGGGAATGTCACAGGCAGTATTGCATACAGACGTAAGTCAGCCTTTGATATACGTCTGTATGCAATACTGCCCGCGTGGTGACACAGTGGATGAAAATAAAAAATGAGCGTAGTTGTGTCCAGCTTATGGTTGAGTTGAGTCGCTGGGTAAGGAGGAAGGCTTGTCAAAAGTGCAGGTCAAATAAAGGTGAGGTGAAGATGGTGTGAGATTTGGGCTATTTCTCTGATGTGTTCATTGAAACAAGGAATCTAGAAATATCTCGTACATTCTCCCAATTTCATGTACACAGCTTACGTGAAATGGTAAAATTGGCATGCCATTGCTAATGTGTAGAAACTTGTTTTTAATATGAATCACAAGTTTAATGGCATTCTTTCTTTCTGTTTTCAGGCTGCATTCTGTGTGACTCTGGACTCTGAAGATCAAGATTACGATCCCGTGAGTGTGTGATTGGGAACCTGCACCAAAGACTGGTCCTGTCCGCGGGTCTCTTGTTTTGTACCAGGAAAAATAATGACTGAATCTTTTTTAATCAGACATGTTTTTCTCATACATATAACTCACATTTACTTTGCACTTTGCAAGCAGGAAAGGAAGCTTGCTAGAAATATAAAATGTGAAGTAAAAGGTGTGGGATTTTTGCAAGCAGGAAGGGGGGGTTATTAGAAATATAAAACCGGAAGGAAAACGTGACATTTCTCTTGAACAGCTGGTCTCCCCTTAATGATCCCCCTGTGTTGATGTGGATGGTTGGTGGGTGCTCTGGTGTGGTCTGCTGTTTCTATCCTACCAAATATCTGTCGTATTTATCTACCCTCCTTCTTTTTTGTGTTTGTTACTTCCTTGTAGCACCTAATCTTCGGCGCTTATATGGCCTTATTTTTTTGCAAATGCCATAAAACACTTGCTAAAACCAAAAACTGTGTTGATGGGGGTGTAAGACTTATATAATTCACTAATACTGACCTCTGTACTTTCTATTTCCTACAGAATGACCCCACCAAGCTGGACAAGTACGGCAAGGCCATGCTGCACGGAAAAGGTCACGATCGCTGGTTTGACAAATCCTTCACCTTCGTCGTCTGTTCAAACGGAAGAGTGAGTCAAATAGCTCAGTTAGTTGTGGTGTTGTGTGTATGGTGTGCTTGTGTAAAAAGGGCTTGTGTAGACACGGGTGATTGGAGGGTACCACTGGTAGATCTTACTTCTTTTCTTTCTGTCTGTTACTCTTACTTTTTCCTAGTGTTAAATTTACCATCATTGGGTTGATGTGCTTCTCTTTTAACAATTTTAAGACTTGTGTAGTCCTCCATAATATTCTGATTCAGGTCATTGGGCTCATGAACAGGAGGAGGCCCTATTGGGTAGGTGGATTATCAGTGACGGGCCATGGCAGCGTATGGCTCCATTTTCTAGAATTACTGATGAATTGTTTGTTTTAGTAGAGGTTTTACGGCGCTCGCAACTGCATAAGGTCATATGAGCGCCATTACTGACAAATGTTTTCTTGGGGGGGCAACAAACAACAAGAGGTCGGAAGTCACTCTGTCCTCGTTGTCCTGAGCCTTCGGGACCCGTGCATTTGAGTGTCGTTGGGTCGGCTTTAAGATTTGCACCACACCACCCTGATTCTTTTACTAGTTGAAGCTGTGGCTTGGAAGAGAGAAAAATAAGTTTAAAGCTAAATGAAAATTAAAAGACAATTTCTCTGAGGGAAAGAATTTGCAGTTTTAGTACACTGAAAATATTTTTTAGACTGATTAAGCTTGTGCCAGTTAGCGAAAAAAATATAAATAATGATGAATTGAGTGTTTTCACAGACATTATGTGTCCCTTTCAGATTGGATTCAATGCTGAACATTCCTGGTAAGCTCTTTTCCATTTTTAGACATCTAGAATAATAAGAATTGCAAATCCTGACTGATTTCTTTGTTCTTCGTATTCAGTTTTTGTTAAAGGAAGCTGTAGTAGACATTTATAAGTTTTAATGCTTTCTTAAAGAACTTTGAATCTTAATGAATTTACGTATCGTCTCAAATGTTACTGGATTGTCTGCATTTATTTGAGTTATTGCGTTCAGTCTTCAAGAGGTTATGTGAAGTTGATGTCCCTGGCACAACATGTTTGTAGGTCTGAGTTCGAGCCCCTTTGCTTCATTTAGAACTTGATAGTATAGAGAATTTTAGAGGCTGTGCTTTGTGAGGCAAGCCTGTTCTGCCCATGAAATACTTCTACTGTGTGCAGTAAGGGGCGCATAAAGAACGTCATCTCTGTGTTTATTGTTGCATTAATTCACTGATTTTTACAAATAGAATTTGTAGTGTTATTTATTGTTTGCACATTTTGTTACTTTCGTGTTAGTGATTAGCTTGTTTATGAATATTTATGAAAATTTGAAAATGCTGTGTAAGACTTAACTCAGCTGGGGGGCACTTGATGGGTGTGCTTAGATGTGGTCTGCTACTTGTTCCTCAGTGTTGTTGTTGTCCTTGTTTCGCTTTCAGACACTGATTTCCCTTTGGCTATGTCCCATAAACGTCTCAACACTTGTTCCAGGTTACTCATACAGACAGCTGATGAGGTCTCATCTTGGATCTTTATCGAAGTAACGAAAGTTACTTTCTTATTCAGTGTTACTTTTTCAGATCATATCTTCCTTCTTTTCTTCTGACCTCTGTGAAGACACGGGACACCTGCAAATACTAACAGTTTATTTCTCTCTGCGTTTTCAGATTGCGAAAGCAGTAATTAGTAATTAGTAATGAACATTTCTGTATATGTGTGTGGATTGAGTGTCTGTGAGGGTTTCACGTTCATGCAGAAGGTGGTGAACTCTTTTCTCTTTCTTTTCACGGTCTTCTCTCTACGTCTTTCTGTATCACAGCATCATGTTTGTTTTTTTTGTGTCCAGTTTTGTGTTCTTCACCGTTTTGTTCTTTCGTTCAAGCTGTCTGTGACTTTCTCACAACGTGACCTCTGTCCTAAATTCTTCCTCTTTGGCTGTCTCTTGGTGGTTGAATTACGACTCAAAGTACGACCGTGTCGGCTGTGACCCCGTGATGACCGTGATGATAACCCCGGCATGATTGATTGTCATCTGACTGAGGCAATTACCGAGTACTCTCTTTTTCTCTCTCTCTCCCCCTCTCTCTTTTTCATTCCCTCTCTCTTGCTCTTTCTCTCTATTTTTAACAAACTTGTGGTGATGGTGACCGTTGTTTCTTCAGCTCTCTCCGTGACCTGAAATAGCATGATAGTATGAAGCTCATGTATTATTGTTCATGGACTATGTATAGACACCTCAGTGTATTTTGTCTTTGATACGAAAAACAATTTCTCTCTGGTGCCTGTGTACTACTATAAAGACACTTTTGTAATGTTTTGGCTTTGTTTTGAAAAAAGAATTTGCTTGCAGACTGTCGGTAAAAACGCCTTCGCGTTTCTTGTTTGTTTTGTTTTAGTCTTTGGTATGAAAAAGAAAACAGGGCTATCTGTGCCTGTGCTGTTATTTGTCTTCTGTTGGCCAGCGCTCATTGCTTTGATGGCTGTTTAAAAAAGGGCACGCTCAGCGCTCGCTGCCTCCAGCTAGTTAGATTGTCTAGCATGTTGAAACATGCATGGTGGGGAAAAACAACGGGTCCTTTCTTGCTCGTGTGGTCAGAAAAACACTGGCTCAGACAGAAGCAGGTTGATAGAGAGTAGAGAGTGTTGAATAAATTTGTATATGTTTTGTGAAGCGGTAGGTACAAAATATGCACAAGTTATTTCTGCCCTCCCCCCTTGTTTTTCTTTTGTGTATTTGGTAGAAGATATTTTCCTCGCTAGATGTGTACCTGGGAGCGGTTTTGCACAATGTTAACCCGGGGTTCTTTCACAGTGGGCAGGGACTAATAATATTATGTGAATGGGGGAGAGATGACACTTGGAAGGGACTGACTAAAGGAAAGAGTTACCGGCCGGGTTGAGGGGATTTTGTCAGTGCACGGGCTACGCTGTTCTGCACATGTAATTGGTTGCAGGAAAAAAATGTTCATTGTTGTTTTTTCCTTCCCCTCCATTTATTACAACTTTTGTTTCTGCCAAAATGGTAAATGTTGCTGACTGAAAGTGAGTGGAATAGGTTATGTAGCTAGGACAAGGATAGCCAGGGAGGTACCATTTTTTGGACTGTCGACATAGAATGTATAACTTCCCAGCTTTTATGAGTTTAAGGAATGCAACAAGAAAACAAAGACATCCTGGGACACTGTGGGGGTTAGTGAGTAGAGGGAAATGAAGCTCTGGGGATAGAGAGGGGTTAAAGAGTTGTGAAAGGTCCAGGGGTAAAGAGGGATTACGGAATAGAGGTAAACGTCTTGGTATATAAAGTAGTTAGACAGTTGATGTTAAAGTCCTGGGTATAAAGAGGGGTTAAAGTCAAGGTAAAGATCCAGAGATAAAGAGGGGTTAAGAAGTAGAAGTTAAAGTCTAGGGATAAAGAGAGGTTAAGAAGTACAAGTTAAGGTCAAGGGTTAAAAAGTTGAAGTTAAGGTTAAGAGGTTAAGGTCTTGGGGATAAAAGGGGGTCAAGAAGTTAAAGTTAAGGTTAAGAACTTAAGGTCCAGGGGATAAAGGGGGTTAGAGAATTTGAGATGACAAAAATTGTGCTCACTCATGGACTAACTTGTCAGCGGCCGCTGCGGCCATTGCTTGTTTCAGGGCGGACGCTCCCATCATGGCTCATATGTGGGAGTACGTGGTCACCGAGGACGTGGCCACATACGGGTACACACCTC